CCTCAGTTTCTTGAGTAGCTGGGATTATGGGCCTGTGCCACAATGCCCAACCATCTCACCTTTTTTTTTTTTTTTTTTGGTGGATGGACACAACACAATACCTTTATTTTTATGTGGTGCTGAGAATCGAGCCCAGGTCCCGCCCGTGCTAGGCGAGCACTTTACCACTGAGCCACAATCCCAGCCCAACCATCTCATCTTTTTAATGGCCTTTTTCTCCTATTCCTCTATATCATTGACTTGTAACTTTATATATTTACTATTACCTTTAAAGCTTATTTTTAAAAACATTTTTTTTAGTTGTAGGTGGATGAAATATCTTTATTTCATTTTTATATGGTGCTGAGGTTTGAACCCAGTGCCTCTTGTTTGCTAGGCAAACACTCTACCACTGAGCCATGACCCCAGCCCCTAAAAACATTTTTAAAAACAGCTTGAGATATAATTTATCTACCATACAATTTACCCTTTGACAGTATGCAGTCCTGTGACTTTTAGTATATTCATAGTTGTGCAGCTCTTTCTACAATCCATTTTAGAGCATTTTTATCACTTCAAAAAAAATTCCTATTCCTCATTCTTTACCACCACCCTAGCCATTCCACTCTCAGCCCCAACAATCACTAATCTGTTTTCTATGTCTATAGATTTGCCAATTCTGGACATTTTATCCAATCATTAGTTTAATGGACGTTTGAGTTGTTTTCACATTTGGCTGTTAAGAATAATGATGCAGCTTTGTGTCGTGTCACACACCTGTAATCCCAGCAACTCAGAAGGCTGAGGCAGAACGATTCCAAGTTTGAGGTCAGTAATTTATTGAGGCTCTGACCAGCTTAGTGAGATTTGTTTCAAAATTAAAAGGGTCAGGGATGTATCTCAGTGTATACCCCTAGATTTAATCCCCAGTACCAAATAGGAAAAAAAGAAAGGCAAGGAAAGAAAAAAGAAAATAATGTTGTTGTGAATACTTGTGTGTATCATTGTGTGACCATATTTTCATTACTCTTGGGTAGAAATGAAAAGGAATTATTACCTAGAAAAGGAATTCCAGGGTAATATGGTAACTGCATTTTTAACATTTTGAGCAATTGTCACTGTTTTCCAAACAGGCTGCAGGATTTTACATTTCCACAGTCCCATAATATATGGGCATTTCAATTTCTCTACATTCTTGCCAATATTTGTTATCTGTCTCTTTGGTTATTGTCATCTTAGTGGGTGTGAAGTGTTATCTCAGTATGGTTTTGAGTTGCATTTGTATAATGACAAATTGTGTTGAGCCTCTTTTTATGGCAAAATTTGTGTATCTTCATTGGAGAAATGTGTATAAGTTCTTTGGCTATTTTTTTAATTGGGTTATTTGTCTCTTCATTGTTGATTTTCCATTTTCTTTTATCTTTTGAAGCCCCAAAGTTTTTAAATTTTTATTAATTTTGGTGCCAGGGATTGACCCCAGGATTGCTTAACCACTGAGCCACATTCCCAGCCCTTTTCTTATTTTTTATTTTGAGACAGGGTCTCACTAAGTCCTTAGGACCTCTCTAAGTTCCTGAGATGGCTTTGAACTTGTGATTCTTCCTTCTCAGCATCCCAAGCTGCTAGGATTATAGGCCTGTGCGGCCATTCCTGGCTTCTTCTTCATTGAATGGTCTTGGTTTCCTTGCTGAAAATCAGCTATAATGTATGGGTTTATTTCTAAACTGTTTTTTTTTTTTTTTTTTTTTTAAATGTTTTTGATGCTGGGGGTTGAACCCAGGAGTGCTTAACCATTGAGCCACATCTCCAGCCTTTTAAATTTTTTATTTTGAGATGGGGTCTCAGTAAATTTCTCAGGCCTCACTAAGTTGCTGAGGGTGTCCTCAAACTTATGATCCTCCTGCCTCGGCCTCCTAAGTCACTGGGATTATAGGCATGCACCACCAATAGACTTTATTTTTTATAGTGGTTTTAATTTTATAGAAAAATTGAATAGAAAGTACCAGAGTTCTCATGTACTCATCCCCACTCAATTCTATACAGTTTTCCCTCTTATTAACACCCTGCATTAGTGTCATATATTTGTTTTAATTATTGAATCCAGTGGATTTGCTTACATTAAGATTCATTCTAATATGTTTCACACTTACTATGAGTTTTGACACATGCATAATGTCACGTATCAATCATTGTAGTGTATACAAAATTATTTCATTGTAATCAGAATTTCTTGTGCTCCATCTTCATCTCTCCCCTTAATCAATGTGAAGTACTGATTTTTTTATTGTATTTTTAAAATTTTTTTATTGTAGCTCGGTGGTAGAGCACTTGCCTAGCACTGTGAGGCACTTGGTTTGATCCTCAGCATCACATAAAAACAAAGTTATTGTGCCCATCTACAACTATATATATATATATATATACACACACACACACACACACACACACACATACATACATACATACATACATACATACATATATATAAGAATAGAGCTAGATTTGTAGCTCAGTGGTAGAGAGAGCTTGCTTGGGAATTGTGATGCCCTGGACTTGATCCATAGAACCTTAAAAGAAAAAAAAAACAAAACATTCCAACAAAGAAATAGGGTAGGAGGGTAGCTAAATATGAACTAGAGAAAGAAATCAGTATCTAAATAAAACTGGGTTTATCTAATGGAAATATCTAATTCATACCAGGTATACAGAAGTAAGGTGAAAGTGTATTATTAGTTAGCTAAAACATGGTGGTATTATGCTTATAATAGGTTGGATTTGAGTAGATGAAAGGTCTTTTAATATCCACTTCCTTAGCTGGCCCTGTTTTTTTGCCTTTTCCAGAAAGTCTCATAAATAGAATCATATAATATTTGCCCTTTTCAGACTGGCGGCTTTCACTTAACAATATTAATTTAAGACTCCTTGGTGTCATTCTGTGGCTCAACAGCTCATTTCTTTTTAGTGCTGAATGATATTTCATTGTATGAATGTACTGCAGTTTGTTTATTCATTCATCTACTAGAGGACATCTTGGTTGCTTCTAAGTTTTAGAAATTATGAATAGGTTGCTAAAAACATTCATGTGCAAGTTTTTGTGTACAACATAACTTTTCAATTCATTTAGCTATATTGTATAAGACAATTAACTTTAGCTTTGTTAGAAATAGTGCCAATTTCACTTTCACTATTCCAAAGTGAAAGTGGAAAATGTATCATTTTGCATTTCTACTAGTAACAAATGACATTTATATCTTGACAGCATTTAGTTTTGTGAATATTTTTGATTTTAGCTATTGTAATAGGTGTGTAGTGATATCTCATTAAAGTTTTAATTTGCAATTCCCTGATTTATTATGTTAAGCGACTTTTCACATGCTTATTTGCCATTTCTGTTTTTTTTTTTTTTTTTGGTGAAATGTCTGTTCACACTTCTTTAAATTCTGAAGTTTTATTCTATGAAGTTGTAAATAGAATTATTAATTTCATTTTTAGATGGTTTATTGCAAGTATATAAAATACTGATGGTGTTTTATTTTTTCGGTGTATATAGAGGTAGAGATGTGGTCTTGCTACATTGCCCAGGGGCTGGTCTTAAACTCCTAAGCTCAAGCAATCTTCCTGCCTCAGCTTCCCTAATAGCTGAAAAACTGAAACTAGAGGTGTGCCCCATCACACCCAGCAACACAATTGATTTTTTTTTTTTTTAAGTTTTTTGTTACTGTAGATGGACACTATATCTTTATTTATTTTATTTTATTTTAGAGGTATGGACTTTTATTCATTTATTTATATGTAGTGCTGAGAAATGAACCCCCCCAGTTCCTTACACATGCTAGGCAAGTGCTCTGCCACTGAGCCACAACCCCAGCCCTACAATTGATTTTTAGTAGATCCTTAGGGTTGTCTGTATATAAGATCATGTTGTCTGCAAGTGTAGTTTTGTTCTTACTTTCTTATCTAAACTCCTTTTCTTTTTCTTGCCTAATTGCCTTAGTTAGAAATTCCAGAACAATGTTCATGTAGCAAGAATGAACATCCTGGTCTTGTTTGTGATCTGACAGAGAAAGCATTCTGGCTTTTTTGGTTTTTTTTGCAGTGTTGGGAATTGAACCCTGGGCATAATGCATGCTATGTAAGCATTCTACCACTGAATTACACCCCCAGCTTTTTCAAAATTTTGTTTTTATTTTTTAGACAAGTTCTTGCTAAGTTGCCCAGTCTGTCCTTGAATTTGTGATCCTCCCAAGTGGAAATGTGGTATTAGTTTGAGTTTTTCATAAAAGTTCTTTATCAGGTTGTACAAATTTTTTGGAGAAGCTCTTAAAACTTGTAGATGCTCAAACTCTATCACTAGTTATGTTTCACACTTACTATGATGTGAGATGAATGATGTGAGATGAAGTCTCAGTGTAGTTTTGAAAGTATCCATGCCCAGGGTTGAGAGCATCTATCTGCTAACCTGAATGAATTATATTTCATTTTATTCAAACCTATTTTATTCAAACCTATACTGCCATTTTCATTCTTCTCCCTCAGCTGAAAACCTTGAATTTTACATCATCAGTTCCCTAATGCTGTATTTGTAATTCTAATTCTTTTGGATGTGAAACTGTGAAAAATAACTACATTGCAGAGATTAGCTTCTTTATATCTACCAGGTTTGAATAACATGTGGTATTAAATTTTATTTTTACCTATAAGCAATATAAGCTGCTTGATCACCCTAACTCTACTACTAATTTCCTTCCTGATAGCTGAATTACTTCTCAAAACATAATTTTAATTTTTTCCTGGTGTTAGGGATTGAAGCCAGCACCTTACACATGCTAAGCAGATGTACTACCACTGAGCTATATGTATCCCAGGCTCAGAACATAATTAATAATAATTTTTATAAGTTGTTTTCAGCCTCCTTTCTCAATCTTATTATTTCTTGTGATTAACATATTAAAATTAGAACTTAAAATTCATAAGAAATAATTTATTTTGACTTTGAGTATTAAATTATTTTGCTTCTTTAGGACACCATGTAAAATTGAACCCAGTATAAACCACATTCTAAGCACCAGAAAGCCTGGAAAAGAAGAAAGAGATCTTCTGCAAAGAGTTCAAAGCCATCAGCAAGAGTCTGAGGAAAAGAAAGAGAGAATGATGTATTGTAAGGAGAAGATTTATGCAGGAGTCGAGGAATTCTCCTTTGAAGAAATTCGAGCTGAAGTTTTTCGGAAAAAATTGAAAGAGCAGAGGGAAGGTGTGTGTGTTGAACTAATTTAAACTTGTGAAAGTAATTTATTTGTAGGAGAGTTGAACTAATTTATTAAATCTGAGGAAAATTGTCCACTTTATAGCTTTATGTGCTATTTCTGTGGTTGTACAGTTTCTCTCTATATATGTGCTCCACTTCCATTGCTGCCTGTCACAAAAACACAATGGAGAAAACTGAGTATGTGCTCAGGAATAAAGGAGAAGAAGCTCTGAATGCAGGAACAATTCATATTCTACAATAAAATCAGCTATGATCCCTGACATGCACACATGTGCGTGTCTTGCCTTTCTATTAAGTACTTTTCTTGATGCGTCCTGAAATATTTCACTGTACCCTTGATACTCCAAGGACTTTTTTGTTTTGTTTTGTTTTCCTTTAACTCTGCTAAAACATTTCTTAAAATTTTTTCTACATATTTTAATTGGTATATTATAGTTGTACATAACAATGGTATTTGTTGTTACATATTCATACAGACACACAATATAGCAATATAATTTAGCCAACATCACTTCCCAACACTTTCCCTTTCCCTGTCTCCCATCCTTATTTCCTTTCCTCTATTAATTTTCCTTTGATTTGCATGAGATCCACCCCCATATTTCTTTTTCTTCTGTAGCTTTGGCACATGAGATAAAACATGTCCTTACACCTTCTGAGTCACTTTGCTTAACATAATGGTCTCTAATTCCATCCATTTTCCTGCAAATGACATAATTTTATTTTTCTTTATGGCTGAATAAAACTCCACATTATCTTTAACCATTCATCCATTGATGGGCACGTAGACTGATACCATAGTTTGGCTATTGTGAACTGGGCTACTATAAATCTGGGTATGCAAGTATCACTATAATATGATGATTTAAATTTAAATTCTTTATGATAAATACTGAGGAATGGTATAACTGGGTCATACGGTGGTTCCATGCCTAGTCTTTTGAGGAACCTCCATACTGATTTCCATAGTGGTTGTACTAATTTACAATCCCACCAATGGTGTAAAAGTGTTCCTTTTTTGCTTCATCCTCTCCAGTATTTATTATTTGTATTCTTAATGAATGCCACTCTGAATGATGTGAGATGAAGTCTCAGTGTAGTTTTGGTTTGCATTTCCCTAATTGCTAATGATGGTCAACATTTTTTTCATATATTTGTTGGCCATATGTATATTTCTTTTGAGAAGTGTCTGTTTAATTCATTTGCCCATTTATTATTTGGTTGTTTTTTTTTTTTTTTTTTTTTTTGGTGTGAAGTTTATGTATTCTGGATATTAATCTTCTGTCAGAGTAGCTAGCAAAGATTTTCTCCCATTCTGTACATTCTCTTTACATTCCTAATTATTTCCTGTGCTGTGCAGAAGCTTTTTTAAATTTGATGACATACCATTTATTCACTTTTGGCATTAATTCCTCAGTTTTAGGGGTCCTGCAGAAAAAGACATTGCCTGTGCCTGTATACTGGACTGTTGGCCCTACATTTTCTTCTAGAAGTAGCATAGCTTTCTGGTTTAATTCCTAGGTTTATCTCTGTGTCATCTTTTCTGTACCATTGATCTATGTGTTGATTTTTCATGTCAGTAACATGCAGTTTTTGTTACTATAGCTCTGTAGTGTAATTTGAAGTCCGGTAGTGTGATGCCTTCAGCACTTGTGTTTTTTTATTGTTGTTGGGGGTGGCTTAGAATTGCTTTTGCTATTCTGGGTCTTTTATTTTTCCAAATGAATTTTAGATCTGTTTTTCCTAGTTCTGTGAAGAATGTCATTGATATTTTGATGGGAATTGCTTTGAATATGTATTACTTTTGGCTGTATGGTCATTTTTACATTATTAATGTCTGGGAGGTCTTTTCATCTTCTGAGTCCTTCAGTTTTTTTCTTCAATGTTCTATAGTTTTCATTACAGTGGTCTTTTACCTCCTTCTCCAAGGACTTATTTAAATTAACAATTTTCTCTTACCTCAGTCACAATAGTTATTTTTATTGTCTCTTAAAGATATTTTCTTTCTAAATTGAAGGAATCTTTATTATAAATTGAGAAAGTGGGAATTTCTTGGAAATGGAAAGCACTTCCTATTCTGGTATCTATAGAATTTGGAAGCAAGATATAGAGCAGAATGCTCTGGGTTCAATCCCTAGGGTGCATTTCTTCACCCCACCCTAACCCCCCCAAAAAAAGGAAAAGAAAAAAGATAGGCAGAATAGAACACGAGGACATGAAGGAGAATAAGAAGGATATAGAAAACGAGGTTGGGGGAGGTCCAAGAATAAATGTCATCCATATAGATTTTTTTGGGGGGGTGTCGGTAAAAAGGATTGAACCAGGGGCATGCAATCACTGAACCACATCCCCATCCCTTTTTATTTTTTTTTATTTTGAGAAAGCATTTTCATGAGTTATTTAGGGCCTTGCTAAGTTGCTGAGGCTGGCTTTGAACTTGCAATCCTCCTGCTTTGGCCTTCCGACCTGCTGGAATTACAGACGAGTGCCACTGCCCCTAGCCTATCACTTCTATAACTTGAGGACAAAATCTTTCTGAGTTTCAGGTAACGAGTTAGAAACAAAATGCTATAAAGGAGACTTAGTATGCTTGGAATTACCTTCATTTATTACATTTCCTAGTGCATTTCCAAGATTCACAAAGGTGCTCTGGTTGAAATACTGAAAAATGTGTCTAGGAAGGACGGGGAGATGATTGCAAAACAAGGAGCTAGCTGAGTAAGGTTTTTTAAAAATAGGAACAGAGGGGCTGAGGTTGTAGCTCGGTGGTAGAGCACTTGCCTATTACTGTGAGGCACTGGGTTTCATCCTCGGCACCACATAAAAACAAAGTTATTGTGCCCATCTACAAATATATATATGGGGGGGGGGGAGAATAGAGCTAGATTTGTAGCTCAGTGGTAGAGAGAGCTTGCTTGGGAATTGTGATGCCCTGGACTTGATCCATAGAACCTTAAAAGAAAAAAAAAAAAAGAAACCAACAAAGAAATGGGGTAGGAGGGTAGCTAAATATGAACTAGAGAAAGAAATCAGTATCTAAATAAAACTGGGTTTATCTTAATGGAAATATCTAATTCATACCAGGTATACAGAAGTAAGGTGAAAGTATATTTCTTAGTTAGCTAAAACATGGTGGTATTAAACTTATAATAAGTTAGATTTGAATAGATAAAAAGTCTTTTAAAATCTACTTCCTTAGCTGGTCTCTGAATCTAGTTCTTGAATTTGTATTTTCCCACCTGGATATATAGTGCATTCCCTTATAAAACCTCATGCCTTTGAATACGAATTCTTGTTACTTTTGAAATAGGACTGACATCCAAGACTTGTTGGCTATTTACTGTAATAGAAGCATATGAGAAATGTAACTACAGCCACAGCTTAGAAAAATTGTTCTTTCTTTCTTTTTCCTTTTTTTTTTTTTTTTTATTTGGTACTGGGGATTGAACTCAGGGCACTCAACCACTGAGCCACATCCCCAGCCCCTTTTTGTATTTTATTTAGAGACAGGGTCTCACTGAGTTGCTTAGCACCTCTTTTGCTGAGGCTGGCTTTGAACTCGCAATCCTCCTGCCTCAGCCTCCTAAGCCACTGGAATTACAGGCATGCGCCACCGTGCCTGGCTAAAATTGTTCTTTCTTGTCATGGCTACTTACAGACCATTTTCTCCTTTTAAAAATTCTAGCTTTTTCACTGGGGGCAGTGGCACATGCCTGTAATCCCATTGACTTGGGAGGCTGAGGCAGGAGGATTGAAATTTTGAGGCCAGCCTCAGCAATTTAGTAAGACCCTGACTCAAAATGAAAAATAAAAAGGTCTGGGAATATGGCTTAGTGGTAAAGTACCCCCGTGTTCTATCCCCAGTACCAAAGGAAGAAAAAAAGTTTTAGCTTTATCATGTCATTTTGTCAGAATGATCTTTCTTGGTCACAGGTCTTAAATAGTCACTGATCTTCATCCCTTTACTCAAACACACATTGTAGTTTCTTTTATTTGAGACAGAGTCTTGCTAAGTTGCTTATTGCCTTGCTAAGTTACTGAAGATTGTTTTCATTTGTTTGTGTGTTTATCTCAAATTTGAATGTTAGTATCACATAACCAAGAACTTTGTATTATTTACCACCAAAACCTAAGTTTTCAAGTTGTACTTTAGGCATTTATCTATTATTTGCTATATAAATAAAGTAATCCGCTTATATCATTTTCATCTGTATTAATGTGTGTTGAGGACATGCACCCCAAAGGTAGTTTTTGATAGAATAAATTGTTACAAGGAGTAATGCCTCAGCCATCTTCACTGTTTGTAGTAGAGCTGTTGACCAGTGCAGAGACGAGAGCACAAATGCAGAAACAGATTGAAGAGATGGAGAAAAAGCTAAAAGAAATCCAAACTACTCAGCAAGAAAGAGCAGGTGATCAGGTAATATCCTTTTTTAAAAAAAATATTTATTTATTTATGTATGTATGTATTTTTAGTTTTAGGTGGACATATTATTTTGTTTTTATGTGGTGCTAAGGATCGAACCCAGTGCCTCATGCATGCTAGGTGAGCACTCAACCACTGAGCCCCAGCCCTCTTTTTTTTTTTTTTTAAATACTTTTTAGCTGTTGATGTACTTTTATTTTTTTATTTATTTATATGTGATTCTTAAGATTGAACCCGTAGTACTTCACAGATGCTGGGCAAGTGCTCTGCCACTGAGCCACAACCCCACCCCTACCACCTTTTTTTTTTTTTAATATTTTTTAGTTGTAGTTGAAAACAATACCTTTATTTTATTATTTTTATGTGGTGCTGAGGATCGAACCCAGGGCCTTGCACATGCTAGGCAAGCACTCTATCGCTGAGCTACAACCCCAGCCCAATATCCTTTTTTTAAATACACAAAACTAATGCTTTTTTGAAATAAATTTAGCCTTTTTTTCCCCAGAAGTGCTAGGGATTAGACCCAGACCCTAGGACATGCTAGACAAAGTGCTCTACCACTGAGCTACATGTTTATCCTGAAATAATCTAAACACTACAGAAGTGTAGAAGGTTTCTAAGTCCTCCCTACTGCCCCTCAGTTTTTGGTGGTTTCTTAGGGATTAGTAGCAGCAAAGTTGAGCAGGAAAGTATTTGAACCAGGTGATTTCAAATGGGATTTATGACATATGAAATAAGTGATGTGACTTATTATATGATAAACAAATTATTTCATTAATTTTGATTTTAGCTTTTTATTCCAGTTATGTTCCATTAGAATGGGGTTAACAAATTTAGTGTATTCTTGGAATTGCTCAATTGAGTACAACAATACAAGTTTATACTAAAAACATGAATTATTGGAAAGAACTTTTGTGATACATACTTTTCATATGGTTAGTGGATATCTAGGGTAAGAGTATGTAATGTTGGACTAGAGCTTGAGAAAATATATCATTTTCTGGTTGAGAGAGTTACTTATTTTGTTTACTTTAATACAAATAGCAAGAAGAGAAGATAACTACAAAGAAGGAAGCTGAATTGAAAATTGCTTCCCGGTCTCAGGAAATACCAAGAATGGCTCTATGCAGTTCTGTTTGTCCTCGAAACTCTTGTCCTAGGTAAGACTTTATTGGTAAAAGGGATAGTGCTTATAGAAGAGCTTTTTTCAATTCTCTTTTTTTGGGGGGGGCGGGGCTGGGGAAAGTGGCTCAAGCGGTAGCACGCTTGTCTGGCCTGCGTGCGGCCCGGGTTCTATCCTCAGCACCACATACAAAAACAAAGATGTTGTGTCCGCCGAAAACTAAAAAATAAATATTAAAAATAAATAAATAAATTCTCTCTCTTTTTTTTTTTTTTCTTTTTTCCTTTTTTAGTGATACTGGGGTTTGAACCCAGGCCTCACACATGCTAAGCAAAGAATCTACAACTGAGCTACACACCTAGTCCTTAAGGGAGGATTGGAACCAATCTTTGATTCTCTAGTGACTTTAAGTCTCCTTAACTAATAGCTTTGGATCATGATGTATCTAAGTTTCTGTCTCAGCATAAGCTATGACACTGAGGGATGATTGTTACTAACTTGTTTCCATAAAAAATACATTTTTCTTATAGAAACAAATAATTATTTTTTAATCACTCTTTTCAACCAACAAGAGAATTACTGCTAACACTGGTATGTCTCTTTTCTTGTGCTTTATTTTTGTTTTTGTTTTATAAAAATCATAGCTTACCATTTGTGATCTGCTTAACTATTAGTGTAATTTAACCTATAATCAAGTATATTTCCATAACATTTCTAATGACTTCTTCAAGAGAATTGGGATTGAGAGTGGCAGAATAATTTTTTTTTATCTTATAGTGAAGAGGATTATATTTAATGAAAAAGCCTCTTAGACAATTAAAAAATTAAATAATTCTTACTGTGGGTACTGAACACTTTTTAAAACAAATTTTTTCATAGGGACACTTCACTTGCAGAAAGCATTTGTCAAGAACAACTTCACTCTAAAGGTGAGTTACATTTGACAGCCTCATGAAAATGTTGTTGATACCAAATGGATTATATAACAAATGGTAAATATTTTCTTAATTATGGTAAAGGGGTTGAAAGAAGGAAGAGGGGGAATAAAGAGAGTATTGTTGTATTTTTGAATTATGGAATTTGGTTTAAATATAATTTCAGATTTATATTAGTACAAAATAATATAAGTTTCCACTTAAATTATATTCAGTAACTTATCAGTAGTATCCAGCAGCCAAGACTAAGGACAGTGTCTTTTTGAAGGAAAAAAAGTTTGACTATTTTATGTTCAAATTGGACTTTTTCTATTTAAATATGTTAAATGTGATAGCAACATGAATATTCATTTGTGAGTAGTTTTATAAAAAATAAACCAAATCTAATTGAACTTTTAATTCTAACAACCAATTTATAGGAAATACAAAGCATAGAGGAACATGTTAAACAACAGAGGGAGATATAATTTGCAAAATCCAGCATTATGTGGCAAACAAGCCAATTTCTTCAACTAAAAAGTATCTGAAGAGCCCTATACAATAAAAGAGGCATTAGTCACAGTATATGAATCTTACTCTGCATTCTCAATTCAAACACACTTTAAAAAATTTTTTAAAGATAATGGGTAAAATGTAGAACTTCTAAATAGATACTGTATATTCAAAAATTATTATATAGTTAGCACATCTTGAGATTTGGCATTTGAAAAGAGTCTTTTTTAGAAAAACCATATTGAAATGATATTAATTCTTGGATTTGCTTCAAAATCCTCCTGTTGGGGTAGGTTTTAGAGGAGTAGTAGCATTGGTTAGGGAAATAGGTGAATCAAGATCATCTGTATTTTGATAATAAATTATTAATGATCTTCACTTTTATGTGTTTGAAGCTTAACAACACAAAATATTAATTCCTCTAGTTGTCTTGAAGAGTAAAGCATGTACTCCTAAGAGTATATATCTAGTCTCTTTTTTTCTATAGGTCCCAGTATACCTTTCTCCATTTTTGACGAATCTCTTCTTTCAGAAAAAAAGAATGAAAGGTTTGTTGATTTTTGTTGTTGTTTTTAACTTAAACTTTCTGTTATTATAAATGAGAATAAATTAGTGGTTACTATTGTCTGTAAATAACAAAAAAAATTCTAAATGCAGTATGTCTTTTTCCAGTTCTCCTGAAGTGCTCCCAAAGAGCTTAGCCCAACGAAGACCCCTTGCAGTACTCAAAACTACAGAAAGCATCACCTTAAATGAGGATGTCTCTCCAGATGTTTGTGTAAGAAATATCCTTAATATAAATGGACCAGTGTATTGTTTTCACTTAAAACTTCCAAAAGTTTAGGTTAAAATTAAAATCACCAGCTTGAACAAAGTACATGAAAAGATGCTCAGCATCATTAGTCACCAGGAAAATGCACATCAGAAATACAATGATTAAACACTCACTAAGATGGCTATAATAAAAACGACAGATAATAACAAGTGTCCTGGATCAAGGATATACAGAAATCAGAACTTTCATGTTGTTGGTGGGAATGTAAAATAGCAGTTACTTTGGAAAACTCGCAGTTTCTCGAAATATTAGACATAGAGTTAACCTAGCAACTCCCCTCCTAAATATATACCCATGAGAATAAAAAATATGTTGACACAAAAAGCTTGTACACAAGTGTTCATAGAAACATTATTCATGATAGTGGGAACAACCCAAATGTCCATCAAAGGATAAGCAAAATACCATATGCAGTGAAATACTATTTGCTAATGAAAAGTAATGGTGTACTGATACATGTCACAACAAGATGAACCTTGAAAAGATGGTTGGTGGATGCCTGTAATCCCAGAGGCTCAGGAGGCTGAGGCAGAGGATCACAGGTTTGAAGCCAGCCTCAGCAATTTAATGAGGCTTTGAACAATCTAGTGAGACCCTGTTTCTAAATTCAAAAATAAAAAGGTCTGGGGATGTGGCTCAGTGGTTAAGCACCCTTGGGTTCAATTACCAGTTATCAAACCAAACAAAAAACATAAGCTAAAGGAAGTTAGGCACAAAGAAAACCACATATTATATACGTTTGCATTTACATGAAATATCCAGAATAGGTAAAAAGTATATTGGGGATATTTAGGGAATTAGAGAAAGAGGGGACTGTGACTGTTAATAGGTACGGGGTTTCTTTTTGGGGGATGAAAATGTTCTGGAGTTAAGTGGTGGTGATGGTTATACAACCTGTCAATATACTAAAAATCTTTGCAATATATACTATAAAAGGGTGAATTTTCTGGATGTAAATTATATCTTAAATTTTTAAAGTGGGTAAAAAATTGATTTGAGAGCAGTTTTACACTTTTAATTTTTTTTTAGCCAACATAGCAAAGGTTGTTTCTTCTTTTTTTATATATATAAAATGAGCTGGGCACTGTGGCACCTACCTATAATCTCAGCAACTTAGGAAGCTGAGGCAAGAGTATTTCAAGTTCAAGGGCAACCTCGGCAACTTAGCAAAACCCTGTCTCAAAAAGGAGTCATGATGTAGCTCAGTGGTAAAGCACCTGTGGGTTCAATCCCCAGTACCAAAAATAAAGTAAAATAAAATGCCTTTTATGGTAATGGAAAAGTTATGTAGACCAGCCATTTTACTTGTGTAATGTTCTATTTTAATCACTATGGGCTTATGACATGATAATACTTGGGGTAAATGACCCTGTAAGGGGTTCGGGTTGTGGCTCAGCGTAGAGCACTTGCTTAGCATGTGTGAAACACTTGGTTCGATCCTCAGCACCACATAAAAATAAATAAATAAAGGTATTGTGTCCACCTACAACTAAGAAAAAAAGACCCTGTAAGTCAAAGTAAATAGCTGTTATCATTGGCATTTCACTCATATTTTAAGGAAGAAAACTAATCCTTTTCAAACGAGCATCTGGAAACTTATTATAAGCTTGAAGAGAATTGAATGTGTTTAATCTGAAGACCTTTACAGGGAGATGTTATCAGTAGCTTTAGTGATTTAAAGCAGTATGTTCTCTACATCCAAGGGAATGGAACATTTGGAAAAAATTTTTAAGCATGATTGAGGTATATTTTATACTCAGTAAAAGTGCATAATTATTAATTGCCCAGCTAGATGAATTTTTACATATGTGAATATTTGTGCCCTTTTATACCTAAGATATAGAATATTTCCAGCAATACAGAAAAAGCTAGGGAGATTTTTATGGCAAAACATATTCAGGCTCCATTTTAGTTATATGGAATTGGAATTTCCAGGAAAGAAGTCTAACATATGTATGTCTCTGTTTTAAATACTTTCCCAAATAGTTCTAATAGTTCCTTGCCTGCTGTGAAAAAGACCATGATGCAATAGAGTAATTAAATATATACTGTGTCCTGGAGAATACCACTGGAGAATGTGATACTGGAGCTGGATTTAGATTCAGTGGTTCTAGAATTAGTTGTTCAGGATAGACTGAATTATTAAAGGAGTCTAATAGTCTTCATCTTGCTTTTTTGTCTTATAATGTTGTACTTGAATTTTATTAATAGGTACCTACCATAAGTTTTATCCCTTAAAACAGTCATATTTAAAATGTCTAAACTAATAGGATCATAAGTAGTATTTGCATAAAATGTATACTTGGACTATAGACATCAGTTTTATCTCTTATTTCTTAAGCTACATTTATTCAGGATGTATCTTTTACTTATTTAATTTATTTAACTTAAAGTCAAAAATTCAAAGAATATGTCAAAGTGGTAATGATGTAAAAATTGATATCTAATATCCACAGGAGTTAAAACAAAAAATAGGTACTTTTTGTATACTACAGGTAAATATATAAAGTGGTATGATCCCTTTTAGGACAGCTAAACAATATGTATAAAGAACCTTAAGTGTTTATAACCTTTTGTCCTAATAATTCTTTTAGGAATCAATCCTAGGAATATTAAGATGTTCAAAAAGATTTATGTATAGGCATATTTGAAAATAGTTTTTTTACTGGTTGAAAATAGAGAATAACTTGAAGGCCTCAGTTAATTTCTAATAATCCTTTAATGTGACCATCATGTTTTTAAAGAATTTTTAATGGCTTAGAAAAAATGCGAATAGTATAAGATGGAACAATGCATAATAGCATATATACTGTAATCTTTTTTACAACTTCTTTCTTAGATACAAAGAATATGCTTCTGCATATATACTGCCAGATTTGTTTGGTAATAGTGGCTGCCTTTGGGGGGAGTAGGAAATAGGGGTTGGATAGGTGGTTGCATGTAGGACGGATATTTTTTCATTGAATATCCTTTTAAGGGGCTGGGGATGTGGCTCAAGCGGTAGCACGCTCGCCTGGCATGCGTGTGGCCCGGGTTCGGTCCTCAGCACCACATACAAACAAAGATGTTGTGTCTGACGAAAACTAAAAAAATAAATAAATATTAAAATTCTCTCTCTCCCTCTCTCTTTTAAAAAAAAAAAAAAAAAAAAAGAATATCCTTTTAAAACTAGTTGCTGTTTAAAACCACATATGTTTTAAAAGACAAAGTTGTGTTTTAATTATATAATAAAAATATTAGATTGAGTAATAGTATTTCAGGTGGTTCATTGTGATACTTAGTTTTCCATTTCTATCAAAATCATGAATTACCTTTAAGGAATAAAATAAAAATTAAGTATGTGGCATAGAGGAAGACATGTTTCCTCTCTTAAAAATTAGGAGAATGGCAGAATATTTTCTGAGTGAATGACAGAAGAAAAATAATATTAGTGCTTTAATTAGGTGAAATTCTTTGGGGGAAAAATTGGCCAATATTTTTTCTTGTATGGAGACTCATCACAGTCTATTTTTTGATTAGGCATAGTTTTTTGTGTTCGTGATTCAAAATCATTTTCTTCAAAAGCTATCATGTGCTTTTATTTATTGTCTTTACCTAGAGATCCTGATATGCTACTTATGTATTCTCTGTTAATAATCATCACCATTCTTATGTTTATTGATATATTTCAGCTAAACTATATGGTTTTTATTTCAGGATGAACTTACTGGAATTGAGCCCTTGAGTGAGGATGCCATTATCACAGGTTTCAGGAATGTAACTATTTGTCCTAACCCAGAAGACACTTGTGACTTTGCTAGAGCAGCTCATTTTGCATCCACTCCTTTTCATGAGATATTGTCTTTGAAGGATCTCCCTTCTGATCCTGGGAGACTATTGCAGGAAGAGGATCTAGATGCAAAGACTTCTGAGGAGCAGCAGACTGCATGTGGCACCATCTACAATCAAACCCTCAGCATCAAGAAACTGAGGTGATGGGCGATTATAGGTTTTACAAACCAGAATGTTTGCTTTCTTATTGTATGAGTGCTTGTCAGTTACAGTGATCAATTATCACTATCTTATTATCTGCTAGGTACTTAGTTGCCAAATGCTTTATATGAGAGTAAGGCTTTTCTAGATAAATTGTCAACTTAGTGATTAGTTTGGATACAAGGGATAGAGGAAGTAAATTGTGATAATTATGAGTCTAAGAGATCTAGGAGGATTATGATACCTTTGAGGAAATGCAACAATTTAGGTATAAGATTAGAAAAGAGGAGACAATTTTTTCTTAATATTAAATTTAAAATAATGGTAGAATAACTAATGTTGATTTCAGATAATCAACTAGAAATGTATTAAAGAAAAAGGTGTTTGTTGTTGTTTCTTTGGTTTTGTTTTTGGTTTTTAGTACCAGGGATTGAACCCAGGGGCACTTGACCACTGAGTCACATCCCTAGCCTTTTTAAAATTTTTTTATGTTGAGATAGAGTCTCACTAAGTGGTCTAGAGAATCACTATTGCTGAGGCTGACTTTTTTTTTTTTTTTTTTTTACCTTGACCTGTCTAACTACAAAAGCCATGTTTGTTCTTCTATATCACACCACTCCTTTAAGAAGTGACATACATCATATTAATTCACATCAGAATTAATTGATTTTATGGATGTCTGACTGGGACTTCAAATTTTTCATGTTTTGGTTTAAACGTAAGGTTGTCAGCTAATGGCAACCAGTTAATAAAAAATTTTCCCTAATCTATATGGAAATAAAGGATGATACAGGTATGTACCTCTTAACCAAAGTATTGCTTAAATTGTGAGTGTCATTCTTGCATGTTCTCTTAAATAGGAGTCAAATTTGGCCCTTTGTATATGTCTAATAGCTTTTAGGAGTGAGGAATGTTGTTTTGCCTGGAAGTTGGCTCGCTGAGTATAGGCTGGTGGTGCTGCCCACTTTGCAAAAACCGTCTGACTTACTGGGTGCATGCTATTTTCTTGTTTGTTTTTTTGTTGTTGTTTTTAGCTATATATGACAGTAGAGTGTATTTTGAAATGAGGCTGATTTTGAACTTGCAACCTCCTGCCTCAACCTCCTGAGCTGCTGGAATTATAGGCATGTGCCACCATGCCCAGCAAGAAAAAGTGTTGTTTTTTTTTAGAGAGAGAGAGAATTTTTTTTTTTTAATATTTATTTTTTAGTTTTCGGCGGGCACAACATCTTTATTTGTATGTGGTGCTGAGGATCGAACCCAGTGCCGCGCCCATGCCAGGCGAGCGCACTACCGCTTGAGCCACATCCCCAGCCCAAGAAAAAGTGTTTTTTGATAGGTAAAAATGAATTAGGGAGTAGGTATGAGAGAATAGTACAGACAGCCAGGGACTGAGTCTTATGATCCATCTGTTTTTAAGAGTCAGCTAATTTAAACAAACTAATTCCAGCTTTAGGAATATTCTTAAATTTGCCAATCTATGCTTTTAAAACTGCATTTTCAGGCTTTTCCCCTGACAAATTTTAATCTCATTTGCAGGTATGTGTTCACATTGTGTGAGTTGAGTTTCCTTTTTCTTTTCTTGACTTTCTCTTATTGAAGACTAAAGTGTCCAGAGAAGGATGAAGAGGAATAAAGTTAGTGTCAGTGTTGGTCAATATTTCTCAGTAGAATAGAGTAGATGTAGAATGAACTCTTAACTATAGATTTGGTAAAGTATAAATCCAGAAATGTAATCCTGGCCCTTGCTTATCAACGAGGAGAGAGGAAGTTACCTAGATTCTGATTATGTATCTTTTTCTTTTTAATTTGTGAGAATAATGGGCTTTAAAAATACAGCTAACAAAATTATTATAAATGATTTTTAATAAGGTTGATCAGAAATATGGGGATAATATATACCAGCTTATTTTTGTTGATTCTGTTATACCTAAGATAATTGATATCAATCAAATCACTTGTGATTCTTTCAGTCCAATTATTGAAGATAGTCGTGAAGTCACCCACTCTTCTGGCTTCTCTGGATCTTCTGCCTCGGTTTCAAGTACCTCCTCTATCAAAAGTCTTCAGATTCCTGAGAAACTGGAGCTTACTAATGAGACTACAGGTAGTATCATCTAATTTTATGAGCAAATGTCCAGATCCATGTTTAATGAACACTTATTTATCTCAGCAAACTTAACTGTATTCTTTTCCTCTCTAGAGAAGTTGCTATCAATTGTGATATTTGTAGAAACTGATACTAACTGAACACAGTTCCATAAAGACCTAAGGCAAATGAATATAATCAGATTGGCAGTATTGATTTTGTAATTCCCCCCTGCCCCCCTTTATAATGTCATTTTAAGCAGTAAGTATTTTAGATGATTTTTTTTTTTTCCAACTTTTTCTTGCCGTAGAAAACCCCATTCAGTCACCCTGGTGTCCTCAGTGTCGCAGACAACTACTAAAATCCCTACCAGAGTTAAGTGCTTCTGCAGAGTTTTCTGTAGAAGATAGACCAATGCCTAAATTGGAAATAGAGAAGGAAATTGAATTAGGTAAGTATTATTGAATGCATATCTTTTTGTACATGACAGTATATAAATAAGTGCTTATTTGTAGTTGACCTTAATGCTTGAGTAGTACAAATGTTTCTAGATTAAAAGAAATAGCATTATAGATGTTGACATGCCCCATTATGCCTGGAATTGCTTTACTTTCACAGTAATTTTTAAATTGAATTAATCCTTCTCAACAGGTAATGAGGATTACTGTATTAAACAAGAATACTTAATATGTGAAGATTATAAGTTATTTTGGGTGGCATCAAGAAACTCTGCAGAGCTAACCATAATAAAGGTGGGACTGATTCTTTGTAATTTTAGTTACCTTGCAGATAATGTAGGTTAAAGCAATAACTCTGTCCCATAGTAGTACATTCAAATCTTTCTAATAATCTTGGGTTCCTTACTGGAAAGTCAGTGAGTCATTAAGAATTTAGTCACCATTATGAGCCAGGACCAGATACCAGAAATGAGAGACTATTGTGTAAATCTCTCAATGGGTCCAAACATGTTAAGTATTCTCTCAATTTTATCTTTTTGAGGAAATCTATCCTGAAATTTTTTGATCTTTTTCAATCTGGACAATCTGAACACACGCAGTGTTACCTTAATTTTCATTCACCACCATCCTCAGTAATTACATCATCTTTTTCTTATATTGGATACCCAGTTTCTTGGATCCTGTTTTTAATTCTTTCTTACTTTAATTCCTCATATTTTGGAGGAGCATGTCCTTTAGTGGCTTCCTGAAAAAGGGATGGGTTACAGAGTTTTTGAAACCTTATATTAGGAAATTCCTTAATTATAATTTTACCTTAATTGATAATTTAGCTGGATATTGAATACTATTAAAAAATTTTTTTTCCTCCAATTTTTACTGAAGAGCTCCATTATCTTTTGGCATCTAGCCTAGCTTTAGAAGTCTTTTGCTCTTGAAATTTTGTGTGACACTAATTTTCCCTCTCTCTGGATCATGATAGGATCTTATGTTTGTCTTCAGTATTCTTTTTTTTTTTTTTTTTTAATATCTTTATTTTATTTCTTATGTGGTGCTGAGGATCGAACCCAGGGCCTTGCACGTGCTAGGTGAGCACTCTACCACTGAGCCACAACCCCAGCCCTGTCTTCAGTATTCTGAAATGTCAAAATTACATATTCTGGTACAAATCTCTTGTCACCTATGCTGCTAGACACTCGGTGGCCATTTCAATCTGGAAAGTCCTTCAGTTCTGAGAAATTTTCTTTAACGGAAAAAAAATCATTTCTTCTCATTCTCTCTGATTGTCTCAATGGAGAGAAATAAAGAATTTTCAGTAATTTTTTTTTTTTAGAAGGATATGGATTCTCCTGTTCAGGACCTCTAAAAACATTACTTTTTTTCTCCTATTTTTCTCCTTGTCTTTTTGCTTTGCTTTTTAAAAAATATTTATTTTTAGTTGTAGTTGGACACACATTTTTATTATCTGTTTATTTTTATGTGATGCTGAGGATCCAACCTAGGACCTCGCGCATGCTAGGTGAGCAACTCTACCTCTGAGCCACAACTCCATCCCTTTACGTTTTATTTTTTTTTGATCCAAAGATTGAACTCATGCTTAATCACTGAGCTATATTCCCAATCCTATCCATCTATCTATCTATTTATTTATTTATTTTATTTATTTTGAGGCAAGGGTTTGCTAAGTTACTTAGGGCCTCACCAAGTTGCTGAGGCTGACTTTGAACTTGATCCTCCTGCCTCAGTATTGTGAGTCCCTGGGATTATAGGCATGCCCCATTATGCCTGGAATTACTTTACTTTCTATAGTGCAATTGCCCCTTGATATCTGTGGAAAATTGGTTCCATGACCCCTTACAGATACCAAAATCTGAGGATGCTCAAGTGCCTTAAATAAAATGGTGTAATAGTGGAATATAGCCTAAAATATCCTCCAGTACATTTTGTCTCTAGATTACTTATAATACCCAACATAATGTAAATGCTATGTGAATAGTCGTTGTACTGTGTTTAGAGAATAATAAGAAAAAAAAAAGTTTATAGGTGCAATTTTTCTCCCAAATATTTTCTATCCATGGTTATTTGATCTTCCAATGCAGAACCTGCAGATACAGAGTTCCAGCTGTATTTTGTCAAATTTGTTTTAGTCTTCATTGTTTTTTTATTTTGGGGGGAAGTACACAGATTGAACCCAGGGACACTTTACCATTGAGCTACATCCCAGTCCTTTTTTATTTTGAGACAGGGTCTCTCAGAGTTGCTAAGAATCTTGCTGAGTTGCTGAGGCTGCCCTTGAACTTGAGATCCTCCTACCTCAGCTTCCCAAGTTGCTAGGATTACAGGTGTATGCCACCAGACTGTGTGAAACTAATTTTCTCTCTCTCTGGATCATGATAGGATCTTTTTTTTTTTTTATTGGTTGTTCAAAACATTAAATGATAGGATCTTATGTTTAATATACAAGACTTCTTTTTCTTTCTTCTTTTTTTTTTTTTTTTGTTCCCAGGATTTTCTTTGTAGCATTAATGATACTTTAAATGTTTTTTTTCTTCCTGCATCATGTTTCCTCCTGTTTTTGTCTTTTTACATCTCTTTCATATTAGAGGCTTTCTCTGAGCCTTTGGCTTGCTGTTCAGATTTAAATGTGGAACACTAAAAACTAATGGAATTTAGAGGGACCTTAATAGCTAAGTACCTCACTGCAGGATGATGTAGGTGGGTCATTTTATTGGAAAACCCTTCAGTCTTTAGATCTTTTCTATTGAGCCAAACAGATCCCCCTAATAAGACTTCTGATTTCCTATTTAGAGCATATAAGCCTGGTTACTAGTTTTCTGAAAGTTGTATAAGGAAATTTGTTCAGAGAATGCAATGGTAGAGAGTTACATCTTAACATTTCATATATAAACTTTTTCCCGGTTTTCTATTCCCATCTGTACTGGTAACTAGTGTCCTCTAGTCCAAAGCTCCATTGTTTGATATTTTAAATGAAACAAACTTGTAGTCTGGTAAGGGGTTGGGTATCCTTGGGTGGCAGTTTCTAGGCTGGCCTAAAGGAACAAGAGGTAGATTCCAGGGTCTAGCTTCTTCTTAAATGGAGTTCAATCACTATTACTTTAGCTCTACCCTTAGCCTTACTTCCATAGGTAGTTGTTGCTACCAGTTATATACTATAGGGTCATCTAACTGAAATGTTAACCTCTTATTCCTCTTTCCAGCTTCCAAAATCTTGTTGCTATTATGTCCATTATTGTAGATTTATGCCTTTTAAGATGTTCCTTTAAGGGGAAAAAGAAAGTTCACTATTATTTGTGTTGGGTTATCAGAAAGACTAGAAGGAATTGGTTTTGGTTTGCTAGCCATAGGCATAGATTCTAATTGCTCCATTATTATTATTATTTTTTTTTTGTACCAGGGTTTGAATTCAGGGGCACTCAACCATTGAGCCACATCCCCAGCCCTATTTTGTATTTTATTTAGAGACAAGGTCTCACTGAGTTGCTTAGTGCCTCGCCATTGTTGAAGCTGGATTTGAACCCATGATTCTCCTTCCTCAGCCTCCCAATCCACTAGGATTACAGGTGTGCGCCACTGTGCCCAGCTAATTGCTCTTATTTTTAAAATATCTTATAGGTATCTTCTCAATCCATCCCATGGGACTTTTATATCAACCTCAAGTTAAAGGAACGTTTAAATGAGGAGTATGATCACTTTTGCAGCTGTTATCAATATGAAGATGGCTATATTGTTTGGTACCAATATGTAAACTGCTTCACCTTGCAGGTTTGCATTAATACTAAAAACATAATTCACAGTCCTCAAGTAGATAGTAGTACAAAATTCCTGCCAGTGTTCTAGCAATAGATGAATTAAAAGTTTAAAGCATTGATTACTTTTCATGAGTTTTTTTTTTTTTTTTTAACTTTTTATTTTGACCAACAAAGAAGATAGATTTATACAGTAAACTCCCATGAGCCAGTCATCTAACTAGGATAATTAATCATCAGCTCATGGACACTCTTGTTTTATATATAGCACCCCTATCCCCTAGGATTTGGTGGGGGGAGGTCACTATTGAACCCTGGGACACTTTACTACTAGGCTACATTCCCAGTCCTTTTTATTTTTTATTTTGAGAGAGCATCTCACTAAGTTGCTTGGGGCCTGGCTAAATTACTGAGGCTGGCCTTGAACTTGTGACACTCTTCCCTCAGCTTCCCAAGTCACTGGGCATGCACCACTATGCCCCACTCCTAGGATTATTTTAAAACCCAGACACAACATATAATTTTATTCTTTGCCCTGCACCTGACCCCCCTACCCTCCCCCACACACCACCAGTACTAGGAACTCAGAACCTTGCACGTGTTAAGCAAATGCTCTACCACTTAGCCACCACTGGCATGCTCTTTTTTTTTTTTTTTTTTTTTTTTTAAAGAGAGAGTGAGAGAGATAGAGGTAGAGAGAGAGAGAGAATTTTTTAATATTTATTTTTTAGTATTTGGCGGACACAACATCTTTGTTTGTATGTGGTGCTGAGGATCGAACCCGGGCCGCACGCATGCCAGGCAAGCGCGCTACCGCTTGAGCCACATCCCCAGCCCTGGCATGCTCTTAAGAAATTTTTGCCGAGGATTTTGATAGTAATATGAATTCTCTAAAATGGTTGGAATGACATTATTTTAAACATTTACAGAGCACCTCTTATGGACTCGGTTCATCCTTGATACTCTTTCCTTTATCTCATTAAATCCTTACAATATTATAGGAGATCATACGGTTGTTAAAACTGGGACATAGACCTAGTCAGCATTCTAGTAGAGAACAAAAAGGAAGAGTATAGAGCATCAGTTATCAAGGTATTAAGTATAACTATTATTGCCCCAACTTGAAAAATTTCATATTTTCTCTTCTACTTCCAGGATCTTCTCCAGCACAGTGAATTTATTACCCATGAAATAATAGTGTTGATTATTTATAATCTTTTGACAATAGTGGAAAAGCTACACAAAGCAGAAATAGTCCATGGGGACTTGAGTCCAAGGAGTTTGATTCTAAGAAACAGGTTGGTTCTTTTTATTCTAATTGTCAGCTTTCTTTTAAGACATGGATAATTGCCCTTTTTTATGCTTTTTGATGAATGCCATATCAGTGAACACATTTCTTTCAGAGAATATTTGCTACCTAAAAGTAATCATTAGGATTAGCTTAAAAGAACATAAAGAAAAAAACACTGTATTGTAGCTCAGTGGTAGAGCTCTTACCTAGCACATGTGAGGCACTGGGTTCAATGTTCAGCACCATATAAAAATAAATAAATAAAATAAATGTATTGTGTTCATCTACTAAAAAAGAAAAGGAAAAACACATTGAGGAAATATATTAATTCAGATAAAAGAATTAACTGTGTGAAGAGATATGAAGTATAAATATCTTGAGGAATGTGACTTACATTGTCTACTAATTTTTTTGAGTTGGGACAATGCAGATATAGCAGCAGTAGAGGCACTGCTCAGTTTCAAAGACCAAAGCTTAAGTTAAGCCAAACTGAGACAAGAGCCAAAAGAAGTTAGTAGAACCAGAGTGTAAATACAAACCAAGTAAAAGGACTTAGTCTTCAAGTTAAACCCAATTTAGTCATAAGATTTGGAGGTTGAGCAAAGGGCAAAAAGAAAAAAATGAAGCCAAAATACTTAGAGCTGAAAAAATATAGAAAATGTTGAGTCACAAACAAGGAAAAGATGGCCCAAGATTTTTGTTTTATATAAAGGATCAGAGAATCAGCACACCCTTTTAGTGATTATTGGTCTCATAGTATTTGAGTAGGGTGGCCTGATTTAAAGATGCCTTTTCTTCCTCAACCCTGTGTTTTAGTAAGCAGTTAACTTATTAAGGTCATTAATATACACTAAAAGCTAGAATCCTATTCCCCCCCTCCCTACACCACGTCAGAAATAGAGATTGACCCAGGGGCACTGTACCACCAACTTGAGACGGGGTCTAAGTTGCCAAGGCTGGCCTTGAACTTGAATCCTACCTCAGCCTCTGTAATCACTGAGATTGCAGGGATGTGCCACCACACTAGCCCTGAAATCTTTATTTTACCTTTCTTTTGACTATTTAACCTATAAGAAGAGGCTGAATTAGACTTTTAAACACAGTTGGCCTCAAAATGGATTTCTGCAAAGAACTAGAGAATCCTACCTTTTTTCCTGAGATAGTAGTCTTTAACTTCCCTACAGTAATAAGGATTGAACCCAGGGGTCTAGCACATTACTAACCAAGTGTTCTACAAGAGCAATGCACCCAATCCTTTTCAGTTTTTAGTTTTAGATAGGATCTTGCTATGCCATTGCATAGGTCAGCCTCAAACTTAAAATCCTCCTGTCTCAGCCTCCAGGTTAAGATAACAGTTTTTTTTTTTTTTTTTTTTTTGTACTAGGGATTGAACCTAGGGGTGCTCAACCACTGAACAGTGTCCCCAGCTCTTTATTTATAAATAATTTTTTTTACATTAACCCAGCATTTTATATTTTTCACTCTTACTGCATATTCAAATAACAGGAAAATAAGAATAAGTGAATTGTCAGACTTGAAGCACTTTTTATTTTAGATTAATTTTATAGAATAGCAAAGCAAACATTGAATGTAAAGTACATTTTCAGATCAATTTGTGTAACAGGCTATCATTTCTACCCTTTTATTTTTGTATTTTGAGGCAGGGTCTTGCTAAATTACCTAGGGCCTTGCTAAGTTCCTGAGGCTTGTCTTTGAACTTGTGATCTTCTTGCCTCAGCCTCCTGAGCTGCTGGAATTACAGGTGTGTGCTACCATATCCAGCAAGATAGCAGTCTTAATAGTTGCCCAGACATTACATAGCAACATTTTTTATCAAGAGCACCATAGGTATTTTGGATGAGACAATTCTTTCTGCAGGTCTGTTTCAAGCATTGCAGGATGTTTTATATCCCTATTCCCCATAAATCCCCAATTCACCCAATTAAGTGCAAGTAACATTCCCCCGAGCCATGTTGACCACCAAAAATTCTGTGTTTCCAACTATGAGAACCCCTGATATAGTTTTTATTTTGTCCTTACTTTACAACACTAAAAGTTCAGAGCACTGTGGTAGAGTTCTCCAGGCTATGAAAATTGGAATCAGAGGTATTTTCTAAACCTTTTTAGAACTGGGCATTTGTGGTCCATGTCTTCAAATAGACCTTCTCAGCCACCAGGGACTCCAGGAGAGCACATAGTGTGTCAAAGGAACATTACTTTCTATGTTGTTACTTCTTAACAAATTTGGCAATAAATTTCATGTAGATTCACGAAATAAAGAACCTATCAAAATAATTTAGTTCAATGTCTACATATTTGGGGATCAGGGGCAGTAATAAAAATAAGATCCATAAAAACCAGAAAGTTTTGCCCATGGTAATGATAGTTCACAATCCCTCTGATCAACTATCATGCTTCTTTTTGTTCATCTAAGAAATATTTTTTCTATCTTTCCAAAGTTTAAAAAAAAAAATGTTTTTAAGTGATCATAGTTTTTATGGTGATCAAAAATAAGTTGGATCTAGGGCCAAGGAAAATTAGGAGAGTTGTAAATTTTAAAGTAAGATTCTTCTGTGCTGTAGATTAGATTAGTTAAAGCTTGTATTTAGGAATATAAGGCCTTTATCAATCAGGAGTTTGAGGAAAACAGAAGAAACATGAAAGTAATTTATCATTCTCTCATTCCTATATCTCCTTAGAATAGGTTTATTACGTGAAATATAATTAATTGGTAGTGAATTCATGTTAAAGTATTTTCTTAGAAAATAAGAGCTGTAATTGCAAAGAAGTAAGGTACAATATTGTGTTTAATAGAAACAAAATTTTATAGGCAACTCTTTACCAAAAAAAAAAAAAGCCTAATTTTGTTTTGTTTTTATTAAACTTTGGAAGCAAAGCCCATCTACAGTAGTAAACAAGAAAGGCTATGAGACTTATAAAAGCTTAATTTCTCCCATCATAATTTCTGCTAGTATATAAATCATTGCTATTTGTATGGTGTTGGTTGTTGTTGTTTAGAACCAAGGATTGAACTCAAGGGTACTGTTCCACTGAGCTACATCTCCAGCCTTCCCCAGCCCGTTTTTTTTTTTTTTTTTTTTAGACAGGATTTGACTGTTTCTCAGGCTGGCCTTGAACTTGCTTTCCTTCTACCTTAGTCTACTGAGTAGCTGGGATTGCAGGAATGTGCCACCACGCCCAGCTGCTATTGTATATTTTGATTTGTACAGTGTAAGGCAGAAACCTGCTCTCTACTTCCTGTACTTACTATATAAAATGAAAGCTTGATAACTATTCTGTAGTGGCCATGCAGTGTGATTTAGATATACTGAGTGTCATCAAACTGGTCTTAACACTGTCCACACTAATTAGTCCACAAGAGTGGACACTGTCCTTGTTCCTTTGTGTGTATTTTTATTACTGACCACTGGAGGGAGCTGTTGGAATGGCTAATACATACCTGCAGTATTTTTTTTAAAGATCAGCTATGCAGCTTCTTTCATGGCCTATTTTTATTATCTCTTTCTCTTAAATCTGGGCTTAGAATCTACGATCCCTATGATTATAATAAGAACAGTCAAGCTTTGAAGATAGTGGACTTTTCCTACAGTGTTGACCTTAGGGTGCAGCTAGATGTTTTTCCCCTCAACGGCTTTCGGACTATACAGATCCTGGAAGGACAAAAGATCCTGGCTAACTGTTCTTCTCCCTACCAGGTAAGTGTAAAACAATCCTGAGGAAATATGGGAAGTGTTTCTTAATCTCTTCTTTATCTAGATAAGCTGTAAAAGCTAGATTTACTACTATGGACTCTCCTAGAATAGATGACCTAGTTTTCAAATACTGTGTCACCAAGTCAAGTAAAATATATCATTTTCCTGTCACAGCACTGAAGAATATACACATACACATATAAACACCTGACTTAGTAACCCAAGTGTTAGGGCCGTGTCTTCTACTACTTACAATCCATGTGATCTTTTATAAGTCATTTTCTATGATCTCTACAAAATAAGTATAACAGTCTCTGCTCTTACACATTAGAATTATTGTGTAGATCAAATTCAATAATGTATATAAAAAGAACATTAGAAAAATGTGAAGTGTTTTATATGTTGGCATTATATGCAAAAATCTTTTCTGATTGAGCTGTAGACACAAGGCATTTGCTGATTCAAGCAGCCCACACATGTGTTGTTCTATACATTTGATTTGATAGTCCAGAGAGTTTGTCATCTTTGATTCTTAAGGATAATCCATAGAATTGATCACTTCTTTGGGGAGCTTCTCTCTTTCCTATAGTCTACTAAACTGTATGTCATAAAATAAGTTTTAAGCTCTATGATACCTTTCAACTTCCTACCTAAATAAACTGCCATGATGAGGCAGAGAAATTTTTTAGCTGATGGCACTTTTTGTGATTTCAGGTAGACCTGTTTGGTATAGCAGATTTAGCACATTTACTATTGTTCAAGGAGCACCTACAGGTCTTCTGGGATGGGTCCCTCTGGAAACTTAGCCAAAATACTTCTGAGTAAGTATTTGTGATTTCAGGGTCTTTGCCTGTGAAAATTATTTTCTCTCTCTTGGGTGCTCTGTCTCTGCTTTTGTAACATTAGTTTTCTTAAATCAAATGCCATGATTCCAGTAATTTAACTTTAGCCCATTTTTATTAAGTACTGGTGCAGGATCAAGGATTGCTAATTAAAAATAAGACTTGCCTAGCATGTGTGAGGCATTAGGTTTTATTCTCAGCACTGCATATAAATAAATGTCCATTGACAACTAAAACATACATATATAAAAACAAATAAGACTTGAACTATTCAGACTTCAGTAATTCTGAACCTGAGTTTGTCAATATTGATGAGTAGTATAGAAGCTTCTTGGTTTAAAAGTGTTAATAGAAGTTTTTTGGAGAATAACTTTTTAACCAATTGGTGTTAGTCATAAACCTCTTTTTTAATATTTATTTTTTAGTTATAGGTGGACTCAATATCTTTATTTTTATGCGGTGCTAAGGATTAAACACATGCTAGGCGAGCACTCTGCCTCTGAGCCACAACTCCAGCCCCATAAACTTCTTTTTAATAGTCATTCTATCAAAAGTTAATAAGCATCTCTTGAAGGTTTCTAAGTTATATACTGATTTTAGTATATGATTTTATTTTTTTTATTATTATTATTATTTTTTTTGGTACCAGGGATTGAACCCAGGGGTTATTTTAATGAGGGGGTAGAACCAAACCAGAGATTGAATCTCCTGGTGAAGAAACAAATAATATTTTAGTATTAGCTGCTTAGAATGAGCTAAACAGACATTTCTTAAAAGAAAAAAATACAAATGGTCAACAGATACATTCAAAAATGTCTTTTATGTTTTTTATATCTTTATCAGTCAGGGAAATACAAATCAAAACTACATTGAGATTTCATCTCACTCCAGTTAGAATGACCATCATCAAGAATACAAATAATAAGTGTGGGGAGGTAGCTTAGTGGTATAGCATACTTGTGTAGTATGCATGAGGCCCTGGTTTTGATCCTCATACTGGGGGGGAAAAAAATGCTAGATGTTGGTGAAGACATGGGGGAAAAGGACCACTTTTACATGTCTGATGTGGTTGTAAATTAGTACAACCATTATGGAAATTAGTATGGAGGTTTCTTAAAAGACTAGGAATGGAACCATCACATGACCCTAACAATATCTCCCAGTATTTACCCAAAAGAATTAAAGTCAGGGGCTGAGGTTGTGGCTCAGTGGTAGAGCGCTTGCCTAGCATGTGCAAGGCCCTGGGTTCCATCCTCAGTACCACATAAAAGTAAATAAATAAAATAAAGGTATTGTGTCTAATTACAACTAAAAAATAAATATTAAAAAAAGAATTAAAGTCAGCACATTATAGCAATACATGCATATCTATTTATAGCAGTATAATTCACAATAACCAAATTATGGAACCAAGTCTCAGTATCCATCAGCCAGTGAAGGATAAAGAAAATGTGAGACACACTCATACAGTGGCATTATACTCACCTATAAAGAATGAAATTATGGTGGACTGAGGTTGTGGCTCAGTGGTAGAATGCTCGCCTAACACATGCGGGGCCCTGGGTTCGATCCTCAGCACCACATAAAAATAAACAAAACAAAGGTATTTGTCCATCTACAACAACAACAACAAAAGAATGAAATTATATATTTGCTGTAAAATATATGGAACTTTTGAGCAAAAAAAACCAAACTCAGAAAGTCAAGGGACATATATCTTCTTTGTGGAAGCTAGAAAGAAAAAGGGAAAATAAGGAGGGTGGGTCTCATGAAGAGAAAGGAGACTAGTAGAATAGAGGAAGGGTACCTGGGGGGAGGAAGGAGGAGAAAGGAGAACTGGGAAATGAAATTGATCAAATTATGTTATGTGCGTGTACAAATATGTAGCAAGAAATGTCAATATATTATGTGTGTGTGTGTGTGTGTATATATATATATAATTTTTTTTTTTTTTTTTTGGTACCAGGGATTGAACCCAGGGGTTATTAACTGCTGAGCCACATTCCCAAGTCCTTTTTATAATATTTTATTTAGAGGCAGGGTCTCACTGAGTTGCTTAGGGGCTCGCTAAGTTGCTGGGGCTGGCTTGAAACTCTCAATTCTCCTTCCTCAGCCTCTTGAGCTGCTGTGATTACAGATATGCACCCTGACACCCAGCTCAAAAATAGACATCACATATACACCCAGAAAAATGGGTTTCTTGGTCTCAGAACCTTAGTTCTTCAAACCTACTCATAAAACTTACTAAATGTCTTCTGTTCCACCTTTTTTTTTTATCTTGGCTAATAACTTTTCAGCATAAGCTTACCAGTGTATGACTTATTGGTGCATTCTTTGGTTCAGACAAAAAAAAAAAAATCAATGTTGAATATTTAATTTAATATCCCTTTTCTCCACTTTCCCCTCTTAAAAGCATTGAATTTATTTTTCCTCTTTATTTAATTTAGAATTTTACCAGTCATATTTGTTTCTTACATTTACTTTGTATGTGTGCATGGTGCTAGGGATTGAATCCAGGGCCTTGCACATGCTAGGTAAGCACTCTACCAATGACATCCCCAGCCCTCTTATATGTATTTTAGAAATAGACTTGGGGGGCTGGGGATGTGGCTCAAGCGGTGGCGCGCTCGCCTGGCATGCATGCGGCCCGGGTTCGATCCTCAGCACCACATACAAACGAAGATGTTATGTCCGCCAAAAACTAAAAAATAAATATTAAAAAATTAAAAAAAAAAAAAGAAAAGAAATAGACTTGGAACATAGTGTCAGCATAGAGGATAATCAGGCATTTTTGGTCGGATGGCTATGGCCAGACAGGTCTGAACGTCACAAGCAGAAATAGGTGGGGTATGGCCATGCCCTATACTATGATAGAAGTGTTCTGATAAAAATAATAGTAAGCAGAGGTACAAACATAGATTTAATCAGATTGCTTCAAATTTAGTATTCTCAGAATTGTAAGGATGAAAAACCACTGGATGTGGAGCTATATATAGTCTTTTTAATGACTTATGGAAAGTAAGGGGAAACCAAATTTTTTTTTCTATTTGTGGAGAAGAGTATATCTTAATATACATAGGTAATTTATAGATTCGGATGAGAATTGCTTTCCTTTCATGTGCATTATAGCTTTTCCCACTATGGTAGGCTCTTTTTGTGGTTCCTTCCCTGGGCTTTCAAAGAGCTCTTTGAATTATCCCTAACCCTAGATTCCTATTTATTACCTGAAATCATTTTGGTGCATAAATGTACCTCCGAGTTGAAAGCAAAAATAATTCTAATTTTCATATGCCTAATCTTGATGGAAATGGTTTTATATATTTTAGGATAAAGGATGGTGAACTGTGGAATAAGTTCTTTGTGCGGATTCTGAATACCAGTGATGAGTCCACAGTGTCTATTCTGAGGGAACTTGCAGCAGAAATGAATGGGGTTTTTGATATCACATTCCAAAGTCACCTGAACAAAGCTTTATGGAAGGTAGGAAAGATAATTAGTCCTGGGGCTTTGCTCTTTCAGCAAGATAGGCAGTCAGGTCTCTCACAGATTTCTGCCTAAAATCAATGGTTGTATTGTGGAACCCTGGGTCTGTATACGCTGTAATTTAACTTAGGACACATTTAGAGGTACTACCAATACTTCTCTACTTTTGAGTAGAGGTATATTTCTAAGTTACTGGCATTTTTAACACAGTAGTGAACCTACTCTTAGCCTTATCTAACTGTAACAAAGAACTGTTTTATGCTAAATGGATTCAATATGAATGGATACTTTGTTGTCATTTAACCCTTTTGCCTTTACTTTGTCCTGTACTTTTTCCAGTTTGTAATATGTGCTCTTATGGTCACCATGTATTTTATAAATAATAAAATAGTATTTGTTAATTTTGTGCTTCTAACATTTCATCTACTTTTTGCAAACTAAATAAGTGGTTTAATTTTATAGATAGGAGCTATTTGACCGGAAATTGACATATCCCAGATCTGTAACAATTACAATAGGATTATAATAGGACAGAATAGTGAACCATATTTTTAGGTGTTTCTGACTTTCCAGTAAAAGTGATCTAGATCAAAAAGTAGGTAAAACACCGAATTGCCTTAAATTTCAAGTGGCAAAATTATATTTTGTATATATGGCTTGTATTTTTATCTGTCAACCCTTGGTATATTTATATAACCTAGTAGTGTTGCTGCTACTGGGTCTATTGATTTAGGAATGTGGTTGTTAGAAAGGTAAAGAAAAGACTTGGAACAGGGTTTAGCAACCTTTCATAAATGGAATAGTCATCATTCTATTATTACATGCAGAATGAATTAGAGCAAGAAAAGATCAGTGAAGGAATAAAAGGAGATTCTTGTTTAGAAGATTTAAGGAAGCAGGAGGTCAGAATAAAAAGATAACTTTAAAGCATAGAGTAATTTGGGAGAGACTAGGTCTCAGTGAAGCACTGGACACCCAAGTAGAAGTATAAATTATACCTGACCTTGGGAATATAGAAGAAAATTCTAGAAAAGAGGAATGAAAACTTATCTAATTGATTATTTCATATTGGAATATCAAGATTATCTAATGTTCTTACATGCTGGTGCCTGTTTTTTTTTTTCCTTTCATTCTAGTCACTGCTCTAAAATTGCTAAAAAGAAGGGTATCCTAAGTATATCTCAACTAAAAATATTTAAGCATACTGTATATAGTTGAAGCAGTGAAATGACTTGGATCTGAAAGATGATCAACTTAGAAATATTTGCTCTTAACCAGAAGACAGCTCTTTAAACATTCTCACATTTGCTTCTCATACTGATTATGTTAAATGATACATGTGTATCTTTTCTGTAATCAAGCCCTTTCTCTCTGCTCTGTTCACTTTTTCTCTCATTCCACTGAGTTGACACACAGTCATTACTCTGAGACTAGACAGTAAATGTAGATTTACATTTACCTTCCCCCGCCCTTCCTCCCTCCTCCCCCCTCTCCCCCCCCCCCCCCTCTCTCTCTCTCAGGATTGAACAATCCAGGGGCACCTTGCCTCTGAGCTAATCTCCAGCCTTTGGATTTTGAGACAGGGTCTTGCTCAATTGTTGAGGCTGGCCTCAACAATTCTCCTGCCTCAGCTTCCTGAGTCACTGGAATTATACATGTATAACACTGTGCCTAGCTGAGCTTTGACCTTAATGGGGTCCTTGGTTCCACCAAAGGCATAAAAGCTATGAATGTTAATAGGATAAAGGTAGCATTTTATCATATGTGGATTTTTGTTCATCCTCTACTCTACTTCACCCTGACCTAGAGTTTATTCTTTCTAGCTCTGGAGTGTTCTCCTAACTCAATTTAGGGACCACAATCAGGCTCATCCTAAGCACCCAACAGCCTGAGAAGGTAAAAACTAAAGAAAAACATAGACCAGGATGCCCAGTTCCAATCAGTGTTCTTTAAAATTGTGTTTTAGTTTGTACATATTTGTATTAAACAGGAGTTGAGAAAAATCAGAAGAAAAACATAGCCAAAAATTAAAGTTTTATTCATTCATAATCCCACTAATATTAACAGTCACTACTGTTAATATTTTGCCTATATATTTGTGTTAGTTTGTCAGGGCGAGCAAAATATCACAAACTGGTAGCTTAAACCACAGAAATATGTTGTCTCATAGTCCGGGAAAATGGAATTCCCAAGATCAAGGTCCAGCTGTCTAGTTTCTCCCCAGGCCTCTCTCCATGGCTAAAGTGGCCACCTGCTTCCTGAGTCCTTTCTTTGCCCAAGCAACTTAGTAAGATCCTGTCTCAAAATAAATAATAAAAAGGACTGGGGATATGGCTCAGTGGTGAAGCACCCCTATGTTCAATTCCCAGTGCCAAAAATAAAACAATTCAACATAGCTACCTATTGTCCTCCAAAAAAAAAAAAAATTAAAAACACTATACACTCAATTTAGTTATAGTTAGTCGTTTCTCAGAATCCTCAGAGGATTGGTTCTAGGACCCCCACCCTCACCCCATGGATACCAAGATCCACAGATACTCAAACCCTTATATAAAATTATGTAGTATTTTTTTCATATGCATATGTATATTCTCTTATGTACTTTAAATTATCTCTAAATTATGTGTAATTATTAATGTGTAATTATTACCTATTATAATAGAAATGCAATGTAAATAGTCGTAAACATTTTTAGAGAATAATAGCAAGAAAAAGTCTGTACATGTTCACTACACATGCAATTTTTTTTTTAAAAAATATTTTTTTAGTTTGAAATGGACACAGTACCTTTATTTATTTTATGTGTTGCTGAGGATTGAACCCAGTGCCTCATATATGCTAGGCAATTACTCTATCACTGAGCTATAAGCCCAGCTCCTACACATATAATTTTTTCTAAATAAAATTTTAAACCAGGGTTAATTGAATCTGAATGTGTAGAGCCAATGGTATGCAGCAAATATTTACATCATTTTTCATCTACATTATCTCAAGTTCTTATGAGTTTGCTTCTCCCATAGCCCGTTCATGCCAAATCAGAATGCTTCAATGGTTTCCCATCTTAAGTGACCCCAAATCCAAAGACTTGATTATGGCCTACAAAATACTATCTGCATTAATCCTACTAGTTCTTTGACCTCTTCCCAGACCCCTTTTCCTTGCTCACTCCACTATAGTCTGTCTGCCTCCTTAGTGTTTCTTAAACGTGCCTGCTTGTTTTCCTCTTTATGGCCTTTTTACTTGCCATCTCTTCTGCCTAGAGTTGTTTTCCCCTGATCTTCTTGTGGATGCTTTCTCAAATCACTGTATCAGAGATGCCTTCCCTGACCAGTCTGTTTACACAGCATCCCACACATTCACTATTACTTTCTGTCCCCTTTTACCTGTTTTTATTTCTATAGCACCTATCACTCTGTGTGTGTGTGTGTGTGTGTGTGTGTGTATACACTTCTTTTTTTCCAATCCCACTATCAGATTTTAAGTTCCTTAAGGGCAGGGATTTACTTTATTTCCTATTTTAACCTTAATGCCTACAACAGTGCCTCAATGAATAAAACTATTTACCCTAAAGCTTAAAAAAAAAAAAAAAGGTGGGGGGAGAGAGAGACAGACATTAACAATCCAATAACACCCCTTGGTCCCTTAAGGGAAAATCCAAGTAACACCTTGTAACACCAAGTAACACCTTGGAAAAATAGCCCTGAAATTAGCACAAAGAGACTGTTCTATAGGTTTCAGAGCACCTTGCTGTGAGCCCCACCACCTTTTTTTTTTTTTTTTTTTTAAAGCACTAGGGATTGAACCCAGGGTTACTCAACCCTAAACTGCATCTCCAGCATTTTTTATTTTTATTTTTATTTTTTTATTTATTTTTTGCTAGGCAAGCACTCTGCCTCTGAGCTACTGCCCTAGCCCTTTTTTGTTATTTTTTTTGAGATAGTCTCACTAAATTGCCCAGGCTGGCCTTGAATTCATGTTCCTCCTGCCTCAGCCTCCTGAGTAGCTGGGATTACAGAAATATGCCACCATTCCTGGCTATTGATTTTGTATGCAGTATTGGAATTGGCACATAGTTCTCAGAAATAAGGATTGACTTGAAATATTGTAAAAGAGAAGCCACAAGTTTAGAAACTTGTTGTGTTAGATCTTTGGTCATGGGGAGAAATCTATTACTAGGCTCTGGATGTGGCTAGAATCGTAAGGTCTCATTTTTAGCATACCACTGTGTGTTTCTTTAATATGTTGTAATCAATGTGCTGACTTTACATTGCAGTATACTTCATTGTCTTACTTACACCTTTCAAAATCAAATGTTATTTTCACAGGTATATTTCACCGTAATATATACTTGCTTGATTTCCTATGTATGTTTGATTCAGGCTAACATTTAATTGAAACAGGTAAATCAATGTATGCTGCAATTTTAAAGTAGTTTTATTTTACTGGCCTGGTTGTGTGATGTATTTTATATAATTGCTTCAATCTGAAATTAGTAAAGTGAAGATGGCGTTTCATAAAAACAAATATCAATTAAAATTTGTGGACAAAAGATATATGCTTATTTGTTTGCTTTTTGTATTTTAAACAAAATTGAAAAAAAAAATGGTGAACTAAAAGCTGAAAAAGATGACATGGTGTTTCACTGAGGTGAGCTTATCCAAGGACATGATAGCTAAGGGCAAGTGAGTGTGTGATTCAGTGAATCAAAGAGACCCAGCGAGCAGAGGGTGTCAGGTTGGCAGAAATATGAGTTAGGCAGAGGAAACACAATTATCATTGTTAGAAGGGATCTACCATATCAAGGGTACCCATCACCAGATGAGAAGGCTGTCAGGCAACTCCTGTGTCCTAGCACATGGGCAATGGCTGAGGTTCCATGGTGTAGGAAGGTACACACAGGCCTCCCCCATAGCTCCTGCCTGTACCATTCTTTTGCTGTATTATGTGAGTAGTTGCCTTGTACATGTATATGCCTCACCTTTTTTTTTTTTTTAAATAGTTGTAGATGGACAGAATGCCTTTATTTTGTTTATTTTTATGTGGTTCTGAGGATCAAAACCAGTGCCTCACACATGCTAGGCAAGCTCTCTACCACTGAGCTACAGCCCTAGCCCTATATCTTACCTTTTTAATTTAAGTGAGCTCTTTGAGGACAAGTTCTCTGTATACCCTTATTAGGACTTGCATGTAGCACTTATATTATAGGGGGTCAATCTTACTTAGAACCTCTACAGTGTTGAGGTGGCTCCCTGCATGTGGTGTCAAACCAGACACTAGCACAGTAATTAGAAATGCTGCCTTTGAAGCCAGAATGCTTGGATTTGGATCCTAGCTTGTATCATTGAATAATCTCTCTGAGCCATCCTCTGTAAAACAAGGATAATCCAAGTGCCCACTTTAT